GTGAGATGCTGAGTCAGCACATGCCGTGCCCCCTCCCGAGGACTGCGCGCCCGGGCGTGGGGTCCCCACCCTCCCTGCTCTGCCCCAGCCGGGCCCAGGAGAGCCCCTCGCCCCAGACACACTCAGGTTTGGGGACATGAAGCCGGGGCAGGCGTGTGAAGGGGTGTGTTTCAAGCTGTTGGGCCAGCCTTGGAAACTAGAGACAGAGACTGAGGAACATAGCAGGTCTCAAGCCTCAGGTTTCTGGAACAATCCAAGGGGCGATTTGGGGGAAGTTGGCCACCAGGATGGGTTTCCAGTTTGGCCGCCCTTGGAGGCAGGTGCCACTACTGACTCTGGTTTCCTGGGCTGTGAATCTCACTTCACTGGCGCACGAAGGGTCCCGCACCTGCAGGACCCTCATCTCGTAGCCCATGGGGCTGGCCCTGTGTCTGGAAGAGTGAGAGGGGGCCCCCAGCGGTCTGGGCCCTGTGGAGCAGGGGCGCGGTGGGGGGTGGGCAGAGTGGGAGAGTCCTGAGAGGAAGGCAGGTTCGTTCCTGTCGGGGCAGGTCAGCCCTCCGAGAGGGTCAGCCCCTCTTCCTGCCCTGACACCCTGACCCCTCCTGGTCCCCATTCCCAGCCACCAAGGGATCGGCTTTTCTGGCTAGTGCCCCACCCCCAAATCATCATGGTCACCCCTGCAGCTGGTCAGGGGGCCGAGATGCCACCACACAGAGAATACAGAGCCCGGCCGCCTGGGCAGGTGAGCACCACATCTGACAGGTGCAGGGGTGGCTCGTGCAGGTCATAGGGTTGGCTGCTGAGCCAGGCCCCCGGGTGGCAGGCCTTACATCCCCCTCTCTCCTTGCCCGGGCTACCTTCCCAGCTGGCCCAGGGGAAGGAGCAGGACCTACTGAGGGGCTTGCAGGGGGCGAGGGGTCTGCCGTCCTGCGAGAGGGGCTGGCCAGACCCTGCTGCTCTCCTGCTCGCAGTGTTGCCCCAGTGCATTAGGATGGATTTACTTTCTGGAAATCCACTTTGTGGACACATTGTTGGAATCGTCTGCATAGTTCCAGATCAGCGGCACGTGGGGAGGGCGGAGGGCCGCCTGACTGCAGTTCTGTCTACAGCTGCTGCCCGGGTTGACCGCGAGGATGCAGACTAGCCGGGCCCTGCTCCCTGCGAGCTGTCAAGGGCCTGGCGTCGTATTTGGGGAAGTCACATTTATGAGGCTGATAGCCATCGGTTTTCACAGGCGTAAGTGTGGCCGGGATGGCAGGTGTCCCCAGCGGCCCCTTCCACGGAGCCAGGCTGCCTGGCCCCAGGACCGAAGCCTGAAGCTGGCCTTGCCACCGTCCCCGCTGTGGCTGGGGCTGGGTCTCCTAGGGTGCTGTGTGCTTGGCCAGGGCCCGGATGGTCGCGCCTCTTCTCGGTAGAACCAGGTGATTTGAGTTTGTTTCCTGTTGGAATTTGGAGATTAGGCCCTAAAGGCAGCATTCTTTGGTCAGCTTGGGGCCTTTTTTACCACCTGTCCCTGAGACCTCCCCTCCTTTGCTCCCATGGCTGCAGGGTTGACTCAGCCGCCACCTCCAGGTGAGAGTGGAACCACCCTTCCCAGGGTGGCCTGTCAACCTGCTAGTCTGGTCACGCCTGGGCTCCACGCCTGCCTGCTTTCGATAAGTCCTGCCCTCCCCTGGGAATCGGCCCCTGGGCTGGCAGGATGCAGGTGGCTCTAGCTTCTGGGGAGCAGGTGGGAGAGGGTTCTCTTGCTTCTGGGCCTCCCAGGGGCCAGGCGTAGGTGGGGAGCTGGCGCCCAGACCAGCTCTCGCTCTGTCACCTGTGTCCCTCCTGGCAGAGGCATGCTGCGGAGCAAGGCTGTTTGGAAGAGAGGTTGTTTTAGTTTAATGTTTACAAGACTGGGTTCTTCCAAGGGGAAAATCGTCTGAAGCCCCCAAAACGTGTGGGCATGAGAGGATGTGGTGAGTTGGAGTCTTATTTAGATCCAGAGGAACTTCATCGAGTGATGTTTCTCTCCTTTCTCAAGTTTCAGGTGATTTTCTGGTGTGGTTTTAATTAGGACAAGAACAGGTACAGTTCTATTCGCAAGTTACTGTTCTGGGGGCAAGTTTATATAAAAGGTAGGGTGTTTTTTTGTGTTTTTTTTTTTTTTTTTTTTTTTTGCGGGAGAGGGGGTGTTTACCATTATCTGCTTGTAGCACTTGCCTTGAGGGTGCAGTGGAAGGTGGCATGTTCTGGTTAGTTGCATTTTTTTTAGTCCATTAGGGTTTGGCATTGGTGGCCTTTTTTGGTGAAAATTCTAGTGAGATGTTTGGGTCTCTTACGCTGCTTTGGTAAGTGGAGTCGGGCAGGAGAGAGAGGGAGTCGGAGTTGCCCGGGGATTCTCACTGTGGAAGGTGTGGGACCTTGTCCAGGAAGGGCCCTGGCCTGGAGCCCTTCGAGTCACCTGCTTTCCCGCGTGTAAGGAAATGCAGTACCGGCGATTGGTTTGATTTGCTAGGATGTGCTGACTGCTAGATCCTGGCTTGTGGATGGTTCCAGGTAGTTGAGGTGTGTGTGGGGGGTTCGCTTGGGGGCAGGAGCCCGTTCAGACGGTGGGGGAGACTCTGAGGTCGGCCAGGACCCGGGGTACAGCTCAGGGCCCCTCGAGGGGCGAGCACACCTGAAATCTGGAAACAGGGTCTGCACTGAAAGCTGAGTTCTCAAGCCACGTGGGCAGGGTGGGGAGGACCAAGTGGGCCCCGTCCCCACGGCGCCCTTGTGAGCTGCTGCCCACGTCAGGCTGGGACTGAAAGCAGAGGAGCGGATGGGGCCGGAGCCTTGAGCAAGGGCTGGCGTGCACGGGAACAGGTCGCCACTGGAGACGGAGCTGGGCCACACCTGGAGGGCCGGGGTGGGGTGTGAGCTGGCCCTGCAGCCCCCCGGAGGAGGCTGAGCTGGAGGGTCAGATCAGGACAAGCCCAGACCTTGAGAGAGCCCCCGGTGCACAGGAGTGGAGTCTTGGCACCTGTGCGGACAGATGGGGTGGGCAGGGGCCCGGCTCCCTCTGCTGAGAGCTGCCCTGGCAGGGCCTGTGTGTGTGCGCGAGTATTTGCGAGATTAATTATGTAACGCGGAGATGGCTCTTGGCTCCTCAAACCTTTAGCCATTATTTTCATAGTTGTGCTTTTAGATGCTGATTTTTTTTTTTAAGTGCAAAATTACCTAGCAACCTGCGGTTCACGTATTAGCTCAGTTCTCTGGTAGGAGAGTCTCAGTTCTCTCTGGAAGATGGAGAGAAAGGTTTCCACGGTGCGGCCGCAGGAAGCACGGTAGGCTGCACACGCCGAGGAGTCTCTCAGATCTGTCGTGGTTGAGCAAAAGCATGCTTCGATTTGTAATTGCCTTTGCAGGAAAGTGGCCGGTGGAAGGCTCTCCCCACGTGGGGACTCTCCTCCCCTGCGAGTCAGTGAGAATCCCAGGTGTGTCTGGCCACCTGTGGCGCGTTCTTCCTGTAGAATGGTCTGTGAAGCGGGGATTGCAAATCCGATCCTACCTTAACGCCAGCAGGAAAGCTCGCTGTTTACAAAATGATTTGTCAAAGGTCCTGCAGAGAGCGGAGGAGTCCCTTAGTCATAAAACCGTTCGCTGCAAAGTATCTGTTCTGGAAATCGACCCACTGCAGGCTCACACGGGCAGGGGCAGGCGCTGGCTCAGGGCCTGGGCTGTGGGGCTGCGTGGGGAGCTCAGGCGGAGTCTCTGGTCTCGCCTTCTTCCTTCTGGTTGCTTCTTGCCCCATGGCGTCTCCTCCTGTGTCCCTGCATCCCTTCCTTCCCAGGCGGGTGTCCCAGGACGGCCGAGCAGCCTGGCTCCAGGCTCGTGGGGTCCCTTTCCCAAAGGGGCCGTGATTTGCCTGCTAAATTATTAATGGCTTATCCGTCATCCCCGAGGGGTCCCCACCGCTGTGAGGCAGAGCATGCGCTTGGCCGCGCCTCCTGCTGGGGCGGGTCATTCCCAGGGAGAGCACAGGGTCCTTAGGAAAGGAGGGAGGAGGGATGTTGGGTGACAGGCCCCTCAGTGGGTGCAGCATGCACATGCAGGTGCAGAGGCAGGTGAGGGGAAGGTGGCCGTGCCCGCGACAGGTGCATCCGTGAGCACCCCGTGTGTGAGAGCACGGGTGCCTCCGGACTGAGGTGTTCCTTGATGGACAGAGAGATTCCTATGAACTGTGGGAGTCAGGGAGGGCTTCCTGGAGGAGGAGCCTCACGTGGCCCCTGGAAGGAGGCAGGAGGGGAGGGTCTTTGTAACTAACTGGGGTCCAGACAGTGGTGACTGAGGCCTCTGGGGACCCGTGGGGTGTCCCGCTGTGTACAGAAGGTGGTTGTGACAGTGACAGTGACCTGGAGGCTGCTCGTCCTTGCAGGGGTTTTGCCCTGGGCCTGAGTGCGAAGGACGACGAGGTAGAGGAGGAGTGAGGTTGCACGTCTGCGCTGGGACCGTGATGCTTGGGCGGCACTGGGGGCGGTGTGCCTCAGTTTCCTCGTTCAGAAAGGGGGTGATTTCCATCTGCTGCAGGTGTGAGGATGAGGTGGGGTGGCTGAGGACCCCGTGGCCCTCAGTCCGTGGCCTGCTTGCCCCACCATCCTCCAGCCAGGGCCCCTCTTTGCACACACGGGTGACCTGAGTACCAGGACACATCGGGGCAGGGCCCACGCCCCTCCCTCAAGCCGGTCACTTTCCAAACCGCTGTGCCTGTCCTGGCGCCGGGCCGCTTGCTGGTCTCCGGCCTGTTGCCTGCCCGACGCCAGGGACCTGCGCCCCCGGGGCTCAGCCTGGGGTGGCAGGCTCGGACACGCAGCCCGTCGCCCACCCTCTCCTGACCTGTGCCCCGCCCCGCCCTCTCCCCTCCCCCGCCCGGCAGAGGCTATGCCAGGCGCACTCTGCGGTTTGCTTGGTGCAGAGGTCACCCCCCATGCCCCCTGGCGCCCTGGACTGTGACCCACGGCCCACTCCCTGCCATGTGTGTGGGTCAGGGCAGGCGGTGCGGGGTGCGGTGGAGACAGACCCCGCCGAACGTGAGTGCCTTGGAGATCGGATCAGGACCGTGTCGGGCCGGGAATAAGGTGGGCGCCCCGGCCGGCCCCTTAGGGAGCTGTGTCTCTGGCCATCCCTCGGCCGCCCTGCCTGCCCCCTGCGTCTCGGGCTGTGTGCGCGGACGCCGCTCCCCACTGGGGCCGGCTTCAGCCGCCCCCGGCCTGGGGCATGGTCAGAGGTGGTGGGGGGGCTGACGGGGGGGGGGGGCCGAGGCCCCTGGAATCTCGGGGGTAGGCCTGTGGCTCTCTCACTTTTTGGTCTTGTCTTGGACCCCCTTATAGTCTTAAGTTGTTGGGGACACAGAGAGCCTTTGCGTGCGTGGGCTGTATTTACTGCTGTTCACTGTATTAGCGCTTGAAGCTAACGCAGTAGAAAATATGTGTTAATTTATTAAAATATGCCAACCATAAACCTATTATGTTAAATAGCATATTTTCATTAAAAAAATCACTATTAAAGAAAAAAACCAGCGAAGAAGGGCAGTGGCACTTCACGGCTCTTCCTCGCTGTCTGGATGGAGGGGACACAGCCGCGGGGCCTCCGGCTTCTGGGCGCCGCCTGCTGCCCTGTCTGGGCCGGAGCCGCGGGGGGCAAGGGTGGACGGCAGACGTCCGGGATCATGACCAGCGTGGTGTGACCCGCGGGCCCCCCAGGGCTTCCTGGGCCCCTCTGAGAATGTCTGTGTTAGGCACTAGGCAGGATTCTCTGCCGTGTGAAGGAGGGTAGTAGATTTTGTTTTTTGGGTTTTTTTTTATTTTGAGACAGAGTCTCACTTTGTTGCCCAGGCTAGAGTGAGTGCCGTGGCGTCAGCCTAGCTCACAGCAACCTCAAACTCCTGGGCTCAAGCGATCCTCCTGCCTCAGTCTCCCAAGTAGCTGGGACTACAGGCATGCGCCACCATGCCCGGCTAATTTTTTCTCTATATATATTAGTTGGCCAATTAATTTCTTTCTATTTATAGTAGAGACGGGGTCTCACTCTTGCTCAGGCTGGTTTTGACCTTGAGCAATCCGCCCGCCTCGGCCTCCCAGAGAGCTAGGATTACAGGCGTGAGCCACCGCACCCGGCCTGGGTTTTTTTGTTTTAAAGAAAGTCCTTTGTATTTCTTTTATTTAAAAAAATGTCATTTCAAAATTTAGTTTACTACAGAGCAGTTAATACATTCCGGATTCAGAATTCGAAAGAGGTTAAAGCTTCCGGTGGCTTCAGCCCCGGGTCCCTGTGACCGGGGTCCCCGCGGGGACCAGCCTTCACGCGGCCCTTCCCGGGCCGCTCTGGGCATGTTTCTGTGCTTCTCTCTGTTTTCCTCCCCTTCCCACCCACCCCTGTTCCTTGCAGGTGGGCGCCAGCGTGCATGGGGCGGGGGCTCAGCGCGTGGCCCGGCCCTCGGACGGGGGCTCCCGCCTTTCTCTGCTTTCACGGAAACAGCGCGGCTTGGGGCGGCCCTGCGCCGACTGCAGGTGCGAGCCGGAGAGGTTCCTGCAGACGACACGGCCACTTTACTGGCCATCGTGACGTTGCCTCCACGCCGCTCTTGCCGTGCCTCCCGCCCGTCCGTCAGGGCAGGGCTTCTCAGTGCGGTCGGATTTGCACGTCTCCTCCCAGGGGAAGCTTCATCTTCCTTGCGTCTGTTAAAGAGCTACGTGTGGTTCCTTTGCCGCGAAACCGTCCACGTCTTTTGCCCGTTTTTTCTACGGGGCTGTTTATCAACCTTTGGCAAATTAATCCTTTTGTGATACGCACTTAAGCGTTTTTTTCCCAGATTGCCTTTTATCTCTGGCTGCTTACGGAGGTTTTTGCTTTGCAGAAATTTGTTTTTAATGTGACCCTGTCTTCTTCTGTGTCCCTGTCTCCCGTGGAAAGGCCGAGTTCCAGTCCCAAAGTGCTGAACACACCCCGTGGCCGCACGCTTCCGTCAGGCTACATTCAAATCTCTGGTCCGGCCTGAGTTTGTTTAGGGAGGTGTGAGGTGCGGAGCCAACGTTATCTTATTCCAAGTAGCTTCTCGGGTGTTCCAGCATCCTTCGCTGAATAATTTATCTCTTCCCCTCCTGAGCACAATTGGGTTTGAGTCTATTTCTATACATTCTGGTTTGCTGCGTGGCTCTACTCTCTCTGTTCATGGGCCGTCAACAGACTTTTTTAAAAAGAAGAAATGGGGTCTTGCTGTGTTGTCCAGGCTGGTCTCCATCTCCCAGCCTCAATTACAGCACTTTTCAAATGGCTGCAAGTCCTGTCACGTTTTATTACGCGGCAGGGCTGGCCTCCCCTCGTCTTGCTTTCCAGAATTTTCCTGGCTGTTTGGCTTATTTATTTTTCCTAATAAACCCTAATTAGACCCAGCTTGTCTTGGTTCCTCTGAAATTTTCGTTTTTTTTAGGGGAATCATGTTAAATGTATAGATTATTTTCGAGGGGATTTTTTCCGTCTGTATGAATTGTGATAAAACATACATAACAAAACTTACCGTCTTAAGCATTTCTTTTTTTTTGAGACAGAGTCTCGCTTTGTTGCCCAGGCTAGAGTGAGTGCCGTGGCGTCAGCCTAGCTCACAGCAACCTCAAACTCCTGGGCTCAAGCGATTCTCCTGCCTCAGCCTCCCGAGTAGCTGGGACTAAAGGCATGTGCCACCATGCCCGGCTAATTTTTTCTATATATATTAGTTGGCCAATTAATTTCTCTCTATTTATAGTAGAGACGGGTCTCGCTCTTGCTCAGGCTGGTTTTGAACTCCTGACCTCGAGCAATCTGCCCGCCTCGGCCTCCCAGAGTGCTAGGATGACAAGGCGTGAGCCACCACGCCCGGCCCCGTCCTAAGCATTTCTAAGTGGTAGGATGTGGCATTGCAGTGTTAGTTTGGTGCCATTTAAGCGCGTTCATATTGTCGTGCCGTCATCACCCCCATCTAGCTCCAGAACTTTCTCATCTTCCCAAACCGAAACTCTGCACCCGTTAAATACTGACTTCTCCGTTCCCTCATCTCCCCAGTTCCTGGCAGCCACTGCTCTACTTTCTGTCTCTCTGAATCGGACTCCTCTAGGGCCCTCATGAGCGCAGTGTCACAGTGGTTGTCCTCTTGTGACTGGCTTATTTCACGCAGTGGGATGGCCTCTGGGCTCCCGCATGTTGGAGCAGAGGTGTCAGCGTTCCCTTCCTTTTTAGGGCTGAGTAATATTCCCTCACAGGGACAGCCCACATCGTGTCTGTCTGTCGTCTGTCTGGCTGCAGGGGACGGCAGCTGGGTGGTTTCCACTCCCAGCCACTGTGAGCACGGGTGCGCGGGCCTCTGTGATTGCGGTTCTCCTGGACATGTGCCCGGAAGTGGGATTGCTGGCTCACGTGGTAACTCCGGCTTGAGATTTTCGCGGCTCTGTGTCCCGTTTTCCCCGGGGACTGCGGTCACCCTACCTGGCCCGGGAGCGGGAGGTCGGGCCCGCGTTGGCCTGAGAACTCAGAGGACCCGCTCGCAGCTGGCCACACCTCGCCTCTCCCCTCCAGCATCTGGGGCCCCGGCCCTAAGCGGTCCTGGTGGCGGGCAGGAGCCAGGACAGCCCGTGCTCCATCGCCTGGCTGCGACGTCCCTTCCCAAGCCTCTGTTTCCTCTTCGAGTTAAAAAGGGGGACCGTGGTGATACCGTGTTTCCCCGAAAATAAGAGCTACCCGTAAAGTAAGCCCTGGCAGGATGTCTAAGCATGTGTGCAGTAGAAGCCCCACCCCAAAAATAAGCCCTAGTGACGGGCGTGGCTGCGCAGCGCGTCTGCACAACCCGTGCGTGTCGTCTTGGAGCGGGAAAGAACACGAGCAGCCCTTCTCATCTGCCCCGTGAGAGCTCTGTGGCTCGACATGAGAGATCGGGGCCGATGGTTCTAAAGGAAATAGAGTCGCAAGAAACTCAGGATGGAATTCGGGGTTTGGAGAGTGAGGATGATGTTCCAGAAGAAGACGACTTAACTAGATTTGAATAAATGTAGATGGTTGTACCGTACTTAAAAACAATAACACATGCCCTGAAAATAAGCCCTAGGGTGTCGTCTTGAGGAAAAATAAATATAAGGCCCTGTCTTATTTTCGGGGAAACACGGTAGCAGCTCCTGGTTCCTGAGTTCCCAGCACACGCAGGCCCAGGCCTGAGACAGGCGTGTCCGTGCCAGCGAGGGAGGCTCAGCAGGTGCTCAGCCTCCAGATTGCCGTGGATGGGTGGGACTGGCGCACTCCTGCCTGCGCTCTGCCCCCACGGATCCCGATCTGCCCGCCCGGCTCCGTGTCCACATGGTTTCCTCCGGTGTCTCCACGTCCCTGCTTCTTGCTGGAAAGGGACCAGTGCCCCTCCGAGGCCTGTCTGTCCCCACCGGCTCCTTTCTGCCTTGTTCCGGCAAAAGGACTCTGCAGGTACCAACGCTGCCTGCTTCCTCCTGCCGCCCCCTCTGTGTCCCAGTACCGGGAAGCGTGTCCAGCTGGGTAGCGAACGCTCGCTGAACACTCGATGGCTGGCTCAGTTGTCATTGCCCAACATCCGGCACCCCAGCTGCAGGCCTCACTGCCCGCAGCCTCACACCTCTGACCCAGGCCTGCTGGGTGGACAGTCCCGTCCAGCCTCCAGGTGCAACACGTCCCTTGCCCACTTGTCCCGGCCCACGTGGCCCTGGGCCAGCGGGAGGCTCTTCTGTGAGACTGGACTGCCGGCCCGCACCGGGCTGGTGTTACCTGGGTGGCAGGTGCAAGGCAGACCTTGAATGCCTTTGAGTCTGCTTTTAAAATATTTGTTCTTGTTCGCTGGACCTTGAGTTTGGCAGCCCTGGGCTGCGGTGGCCGCCTCGGCCCGCCTGGCTTTCGGCAGTCCTGTCACCTGCCGAGCAGGAGCCTGGGTCCACCTTGTCCTTGCTGTGTGTTGCTTTAAATGAGGAAGGTGTTCCCCGGCGGTGCCCTGTGCCCTGGGGCTTGTCTGCCTGGGAGAGTCCCGGTGGGCCTGGCAGGCCCTCCTGGCCTCAGCTGGGCCATGTTAAAAAAATAGTAGAAGTTACGGGAAGAG